AGCAATATTCTGTAGTTGTTCGTGGGTCTGGTTCCCGAGAGCCACTCAGCAGAGGCCCATGTGGGGCGGCAGCATGTGTGCTCAGCACTACTTCCCTGGACCCTTGTATTAGTATATGTAGTCTGCACACACGGGTCACACAGAAGGAAACCTGTAGCCTACTGCAACACGTGAGCCAAGAAGCCAGAACGCCCATTGTACTCTGTCCCATTTGAGAATCTGTAGCACCTCCGCCATTGCCCTCCTCGGCTTCAGTTCCTAGTGTTTAATCATCCTTTCTCTTCTAGGTAGAGACACTTGTTAGAAACAGGCATGTTTCTGGAGCAGCGGTTCTCAGCCTGTGGGTCACAACCCTGTCACGCGGGTTGCCTAGTACCATTGGAAAACTTTTACATTGTGATTCGTAACAGCAAAATTACAGTTTCAAGACAGGGTTTCTCTGTGTAGCCTTGGCTGTCCTGGATTCACTTTGTAGACCAGGCTGGCCTCAAACTCCCAGAGATCCACCTGCCTCTCCGACTCCCAGAGTACTGGGATTATAGGCATCTGCCACGAAAATAATCTGTGAAAATAATCTTAATGGTTGGGGTCACCACAACACAGGGAACTATATTAAAGTGTCTCAGCATTAGAAAGGTTTGATAACCACTGTTTTAGAGACTTCTTTTGCAAGAGTGCTCCTTAACCTAGTGAGAACTTTCAGGTAGTGAATGAGAGCGAGCTTTGGTTCTCTTGCCTCCAAAAGCCATGTGGTGGTGCAGCCTGGTCACCTAGGTCTTTGTTGTTTTCCCATTTCTCGTGAGAGTCCCGAGTCCTGCTGAGTAGTTTTTAGCAGTGTAGTATACACTTTGCGTAGAGCACAGTGGTGCTTCCCACATTCTGATTTGAGAAGCCTCAGTGGTAAAGCAGGAAACAATTCTGCCTGCTTTGCTCTGCTCAGGACTCTGAACTAGTTTTTGTAACCCACTTTGAGGAGTGGTGAAGTACTGAGTGAGGTCTGGCCCACTAGCTGCTGGCCCTCGTAGGGTGTGTGTCTTGAGACTAGAAGATGAGAACACCTCTGCTAATAATAGGATGTGGTGTGTGCTAGGAATTGGATGGCAACTGGTTTTACTTCAGGTCTTTTGGCCACAGGCTTGCAAATGACTGCCTCTCCCAGACTGATGGGGGGCAGTGTAATTGCTCACTTCCTTTGTGGTATCTTCAGCAATTCCAGCGAATGTCACTAAACCAGAAACAAGACTCACCGGCGAGGAAAATGTACCCCCTGGGCGAAGAGTCACTTTGTTCCTTCCCTCTTGTGCAATGCCTTCTGGCATTTGTTTGGACGCCTGGCTTTGTTTACTTGTGCCTAGAAGTAAAGAAAATAACCTGGCCTATTGGCCACTTTGGCTCCTTGGTGCCTCCCATGCGTTTTGTTTTAGAGAGAAATAACTTTATTCTTGGCAAGTCACGTTCCAATAGGGGCTATTTCTGGAAAACGCTAACACTGTGTCTCAAGTTGTTGGAGATTTGTCTCGTATTTTACAGTATGAGCCCTCTAGATCCTGCTGCATCCCTCTATGTGAGTGAGGCCCCTTGTGGTGGTTCCCTTTCTTCCTTAAGTGTGGACCAGACTTCGGATTTTGAGTCATAGAAAGTTACAAAAGCTGTTGAACATGGTGGTGAACGCCTGTAATCCCAACACTCAGGGAGGTAGAGGCAGGCGGATCGCTGAGTTCCAGACTAGCATGGTGTACAGAGTGAGTCCAAGACAGCCAAAACTATACAGAGAAACCCTGTCTCAAAAAAACCAAAACAACAACAAAAAGATGGAACTAGAGAGATGGTTCAATGATTAAGAGCACTAGTTGCTCTTCCAGAGCAATTCCTAGTATCCCCGTGGCAGCTCACAACTGTTTATAACACCAATTCTAGAGAATCTGGCATTGTCACACAGACAGACATGCAGGCAAAATACCAGTGCACATAAATAAAAATATGAAAATGAAAGAAAGGTTACAGAAGTGATGGATTGATGCTTGTGGACCAGAAGCAGAAGCTGGCCTGCAGTGTAAAGAATGGAGACAACTGAGGTACCCTCTTGGGGTTCTAACTCCCATTCTAATGCAGGAAATCAAGGTTGACCTTGAATTCCTGATCCCCCTGCCTGAACTTGAGGACAGGAGAACAGGCCTGGAGCAAGAGTGAGGCAGAGACTCTCTGAAGCCTGACATCTCATCTTGAGACCAGCAGGGGTAAGGATCAAGGACCGATTCCTCTGTTCTGGGCCTGAATGTTCTGGTCCACAGTAGTCTTGCAACCCTCCACCTCTGTCATCCTTTAAGCTAGTGAAGTACCCTGGTGACTGGGTTTCAGGTTTCCTCATAAAAACATGTCCAGCTAGCACCTGGAATTCCTCTCCATGCAAATGAACCATTCCCAGCACCGCAGCCCCAGGCAATGATATAAAACCTCACTTCACCCAAAAACCCCTACCTCCTAAGGTTATTAGAACCCTTATTTCTACCACCCTCGCCCAAATAAAGATAGCAGTATCACTGTAAGAGCGTGGAAGAAGGCTGTGTCAGACCTGTGTCGAGCGCCTGTCTGTCCCGTTAACCCACCCCCACGACCCTGGATTCAATGCAGAATCAAGATCCTGCTAACCCACCCACCTGGCTAAACTTCATTCCTTTAAGTCCAGCTGCATCTGGACACATCAGTGACTGGATGCCCTGAGGGGAAGAAGCAAACCCCAGGCTCTGGAACAACACCTGCCTCCACCTTTGAATGCTGGGATTTCAGGTATCTGTCAGCACATTTAGTTGAGACACTCCGAGTTTCAGAACTTTTGTCTACTCCGGATGGCCACTATTTCAGTTAGCTGTACTGTGTAGCTCCCTGGAGACATACTCCTTGAAAATGACATTCCGAGTCTTTCAGAATACTCTCCAAAGACCTCAACACTGCCATTGCAGCTGGAGTTAGGCAGTGACTGAGGAACCCCGCCTTCCTGAAAGACCAGCTAAGCATTTAGAGCACCATCGTTATCTTAACCACTTAGCAGAGTGACAACAAGTGAACGCTGAGGAGGCAGCTGATGATTCCTGAGTAGCAACTGTTAGAGAAACTGGCCAGGCCATGCACTAAAAATCAGTGGAAAGGAGCTAGTATGTGTGCAGAGATGGGAGCTTGGGGGAACGTGGTGGGTTTGACAGGTGCCCAGAAGGGGGCTTCCGGAACGCATACCTATTGCCTCTCGTAAAAGCTGGCAGGGCTTTCAAATCCCCAGCGGCATCTGAGCTCCCATCGAGCGCACTTGGACCAGTCAGTGAATTTTATTTTTTCCTAAACCTCCCAAGCTTGAAGCAAAAGAATAAAAGTCGCCTCCCTTGCTGAGTCTTGACTGGCCTGACTGCAGGGAACCACCCCGGGACCACAATCTGGATGGACCTGGGGGTGAAAGGCACCTTGATGCTCTGTGGATTGGGAGGTGGGCAGATGAAGTGTATCAGCTGGGAGAGTCTGCTGTAAGGACAGACTCCAAGGAGGGAGTCCATTCTGTCCCCCACTCCCATGTTCATCCTCATGGGAGAAGAAAGGCTCGAGATTGGCTTGGATCTCGGTAAGCAGGAAGAGTCACCGTAGAGCAGGCTCACTGTAGTAATTGCAGGCTGCCTGGGGGTGGGGTGCAGAATCCTAGCACTCAGGAGGCTCAGCTTGCAGGAGGCTTGCAGGTTCAGAGCCATCCTGGGTTACCCTGTCTCAAGAAGAAAGGAGGGAGGAACAAAGTAAAGACTGACTTGACTCGGTCTCTGTTCAGTAGCCTCTGCTGTCATCCAAACGCCTACCTGTGCCTGTGTGTGCGCAGACACGTGTGAACACCGCACCAAGCATAGAATTCAGAGGATAAGTTTTGGGAGTCCGTTCTCCCTTTCATCAGATGGGTCTGAGGGATTGCCTCGGGTCTGGAGTAGCAAGCTCTGAGCCATCCCACTAGAACAAGACTTTTTTTTTTTTTTTTTGGTCTTGAGATAGTTTCAGGATGTTATCCAGGCTGAATTCCTGAGCTCAAGCCTCAGCCTCCAGAGGGCTGACACTACAGATAAATAGCGCTGTACCTAGATTCTTATGTCTGTAAACACCAGGTCCTTTGTCACAGGCACAAGGATTTCCTAGATGGGGCCAGCTGGAACTGTTTTCTCTGGAGTTCTATCCTGGTTTATGAACGGGGACGTTGAAGGGCCACCTTATACAAGAAGATGGATGAGTCACCTGGGACCAGATTATACACTCAGGAGGACTGGGTTAGAGAGGTGACCTCTTTGAAAAACGTTTGTTTTAAAACTTTATTTTTTGTTTACACATGCCATGACACATGTCAAATGACAACTTGGGGAATTTTACTTTTTTCTTCCACGTTGTGGGTCCTAGGGATTGACTGCAAGTTGTCAGGCTTGGCAACAATTACCTTAACTCACTGAGCCATGTCATTGGCCCAAAGGGTGACCCCTGTTGGTAGGATTACTGGGAATCTAAAGGGGAAAAGGCCCCTGACCCCACCCCCAAATGCATGCTGCACTTTCCCCACCAGGACATTTTCCATGTTTGTATTGCCATTCTTCGCCAGGCCCCCAAGCTCTTTTCCCACCTGAGGATGGACTTGAGCCCTGTAATCTTGCTCTCTGCTTTTCTGACATCCCACCCTCTACGCTGCGTTGCTGAGGAAGCTACTTCTTCCTGCTACAGTATGTTGGGCGTGGGGAGAAGCTAACCCTGTAATGCCTGGATGCAAGGGAGAGCTGGCTCACTCCAGCTTGTGAGGCATTGGTGCTGGTGTATGCCATAGATACCTGATACTGGGAGTCCTGGAAGAAATGCAGAGTTCAGTGCGGACGTGGCAGGAAATGAATGCCCCAGCTGAGGACAGAAGACACAAGCCTGTTGGTCTTGAGGCTCTTCGGCTGTGATGTTCAGGAAAGAGATGGGCGTGGCATCACTTGGGAAGTGCTCCTTGAGGCTCACTTTGAACCCTGGCCGTCCTCTTCTGGGCCTAGGGACAACCCTACGAGTTGCTGGTGATGAGAGGAGTCTGGTGTTTCTCTTTGACTCTGGAGGCCTTCTCTGGCTACTGCTCCGGGCCCTGCAGCCTGGTGGTGTGCCTCCTGTCCACAGGTTCCTAGAGCAGTTAAATTACAGGCTCGTCTGCCACCTCCCCAGCCAGCCCTCGGCCATCCTCCACAGAAAGGGGAATGGTATCCTGAAGCCCAAAAGCTCTCCCTGGGCACATGGAGCTGCCACTGACCAGGAAACTGGTTTTGTTTCTAGCTCACTGTGTGACCTAGGGCAAATTACTTGCTGTCCCTGGAAAACAATGTCTATAACCAGCCACCTCACCATTCATGTAAGGCATTCATCTCAATGTTGGGGTGAGTTCCAGAGTTCCTCTGAAACACTCAAGTGCCTTGAGAAAAGTCTTGGGAAAACAGGATTCGTGGCCTGTCTTCCCAATAGCCACTGTTCTTTCTTTCAGGAAAGAGGGAGGGGCCAGAAGTCAGCACAATAGGGAAGCAGCCTGGAGCTCCCTGTGGCCTGCGTCTGCCCATCACTGCTTCATCCACTGCCCTTGCTCTGACTCACAGGCTCTGTGCTCCTCCCCTAGCCTGAATCATTTATTTTCCTCCCTGGCTTTAGGGACCAGTTGACAATACAGCTCCTGCTTAAGTGTTTGGGGCAGGGAGGGGGGGTAGTGTTTGCTGCTTAGGGCATCCTCTCTCATGGGGCTGCTCACTTAATGAGAGCTGTTAAAGACAGCCTCTTTAAGACAAAATTCCTGACCTAGGGATCAACAACCAGGACTTTACAGATAGACAAAGATAAGGACATCATATTTTGTGGCCCCACTGAAACTAAGAGGGAATGGGCTAGGGAAGATACAGCTTTCAAGATCATCAGGGCTAGCAAGACAGTTCAGCCTGTCAAGTCTGACCACCCGGAGTTGGGTCTCTGGCACATGATGAAAGAAGAAAACCAACTCTTGAAACTTGACCTTTGACCCCCACACACCTGCTGTAGCACACACAAACATACACAAATAATCATCAGAGGCCTTTTCTCCTTGTACCTCAGCTCTCACCTCCCACAGCCCCTTCTGCCAGACAGCTATTCTATCTGATGGCAGTACAGCGCCTGGCTATTTCCACATGATGCCCTTGCCTACCTTCTATGGACAGACCACTGGTGCCAAGGAGGTCCTGCACTATTCGTCCCAGCTGATATCCTGATGAGAGGGAGAAAGAAGAGGTAAAAGAGCAGTAAAGGAAGGCTGCCTTGGACATGGGGGAAGGACAGGGACGGTAGGGCCCTACAAATGCAGCCATTCTCATCATGGGGCATGAAGAAATGCCTGGATCCCTTCGTTCATCTATGGCCTTACTCATTGATTCCTTCCTCTTGCTGGTCCATGTATAGAAACCAGGCTGAGTATTAAGGATGCAAAGTGGCCAAGGCCTTGGCTCTTCCTGCGGGGAGTTTCCAGGCTGGGAACAAGAGCTATGTGACACAGCAGGACAATGCAGTGTGCCAAGAAGAGCATCATTCCTAGTTCATGGAGACAAGCTGTCTGCAGTTGTCCATTAGCTGCTAGGGATGGGGCTGTGAAATCAGTAACAGCCCCAAAGGGCATGAAGGGGCCAGGCCTGATTCACACAGCATTCAGGAGTTGTGGGAACAGGTTGCTATTTTCTGTCTTATTTTGTTTCATTTGAGACAGGTTCTTGCTTTGTAGTCCAGGCTGGCCACTGTAATCCCTCTGCCTCAGCCTTCCAAGTGCTGGGATTACAGATGTGAGCTACCACACCCAAACCTCCTTTTTGGATTGCCTTTCTGATGAAGGGCTTAAGCAGAATAAAGCCTACCTGGATTTGCAGTTCTTACATCCTCTGGAGGCAAAGGGTTGCATCTCTGAGCTCTCTAATCTTTCTGGTTGATTCATTTTCTTAACTCTGCAGCCCTGGCCCCGTCTCCTACCCCTGCAGGCATTCCTGCATGGATATCCCACCCTCTGGGGAAATAGCCAGAAAGCCTGTCTTCTGGTCAAGTCACAGCATCCCTGGTACAGCAGTGCCAGCCAGGCACGCCCCCAGCTGGAGCTTCACTGCTTATTCCAGGGTGGCTAATGGCCAGCACAGTGCACCCCACCCCAGGGAGGACGCTGAGGGTAAAGCAGGGCAGCACTCACCCATTCTCTCCCTTGGCTGGATCGGACGTATTCCTGGGAGAAGGAAAGGGGGATGAAGACTGTCCTTCCCTGGGGGCTTGCGGAGAGGTGTGAGGGTTCTTCATGGGAACTCTAGCCATCCCACTGTCCTTTCGTGACAGTGGGGGCATGCCCAGAGGAGCTTATGCACCAGTTGGGGAAGGCACCCTTGGGAAAAGCACTTACTATCAGAGCCTCAGTCACCTGCTGGGCATATGGGGGGTGTCATTGCCCTAGAGAGCTGACCGTGGTGAGGTTCTGCTATGCTCACGGAAAAAAGAAATTGAGACAAGGTCTCACCATGTAGTCAAGTAGTGAGCTTGTGACAGTTCTGCCTCTGGAGTGCCAGGATAAAAGGCAGGTGTCATCCCCAGCCCACTTAAGCATTTTGTTTGTTTTGCCGGAGGCGGGGATTAAAGGCCTAGCACACCCCTTTTACCACTGAGATCCACGGCTAGCTCAATTCCTCATCGTTTTCAATGTCTCATTCTACATGGTCTCAAGTTGTTATTCCCCCCTCCAAAATGTGTGTGTGTGGTGTGTGTGTGTGTGTGTGTGTGTGTGTAAATAGAGGCCAGAGGTGAATATTGATTGTCTTCTTGGATCACTGTCCACTTGGTTTTTGAGGCAGGCTTCTCACTGAAGCTCACCGACTTAGTTTCACTGGTTGGCTGCAAGTCCCAAATGTTGTCCCATCTTCACCTCCCCAGGGCTGGAATTACAGGTGAACTGCCTAGCTTTTCATGTGGCTGTTGGGTGCTAAATTCAGCCTCTCATGTTTGTGCTGAGCCATCTCCCTGATCCCTATGTTGTTGTTGTTTTGTTTTTTAAGACAGGATCTCATATAACCCATGCTGGCCTCAAACTCACTATGTAGCCGAGAATGACCTTGAACTTCTAATCATTCTGTGTCTATCTCCCAAGTGTAGGGATTATAGGCATGTGCCACCATGTCCCATTTATGTTCTATTTATTTAGTTATTTAATGTCTGAGTGTTTATTTGCATTTACACCTGCATGCCAGAATATGAACTGATTGTGATGAGCCACGATGTGGTTGCCTGGACTTGAACTCAGGACGTCTGGAAGAGCAGACAGTGCTCTTAATCACTGAGCCATCTCTCCAGCCCCCATTTATGCTCTATATTTTGACCTTTCCCCCACTGGTGGTCTTATGTTTTGCAAAATCTCGTTGAAAACGATCAGCTTGACAATGAACCCTGTGTGCGAACACCTCAAGGCTCCCATGGCATTCTCATGAAAATTTAAGATTCCCTGATTGTGAAACTATTGGTCCAATGCACATACATTTCCAACTTTGATGGCTGCAGCCAGTGTCCCCCAAATGGACAGCGCAAATGCCGACACCTGAGCATGACTGTGAGCATGCCGAGAGAACCTGAGCTCTGTCCAGTCCGACTTCTCTCTGCGCTGGACAGCTTCCTTGTTTCAGTACCCTCAATAACTGTGCTCATCTGCGCAGAACTGGCTGGAGAGCCTGCCTTGCCCTTATCTCATGGCTGCTGTCCAGCCCCACAACATTCTCCCCATCACCCAGGTGTGGAACCAGTGTGCAAAGCCTCAGCCCCCCTCATATGCCAGACAGCCCCTAGATACCTGTTGCCATTGGCTCTCCCTGGAGCATCCTGCTTGGGTGATGACTGATGGGGGATGTACCTCACCCTCCCACGGGCATCCTCTACTCAGTATGGCAGGACCCACTCAGAACCACACCCACTGCCTTCGACACTCACCCTCCACCCGCTTCCCCATCAGACCATAGAACTGGCGAGTCCTGCTTCTCTTCACCTCCGGAAGCTGGAGCCTGATGCTGGGGACAGGGATTCCCTGGGGAAGCAGAGAGTTAGCGTTAGGGTGTGCCACAGAGGAGGAGATGTGGGGTGCAGAGCCATCTCAACAACAGCCTGGCACCCCAAACAGCACACTGTATTAATGATACACGATCTCACAGACTGGGTTTCTGGCACTGCCCTGAGCACTTTAATTTAGTAACTCACTAATTCTCACCCAAACCTCATGAAAATAGTACCCAATTACTATTACTGTCACCACTTAGCAGATGAAGACATACAGGTACACAGAGATGAAATATGTCCAAAAATAACATAACTAAGTGAGAAATGGAGTCAGAACTTAAACCCAAGCCATGTAGCTCAAAGGGAAGGCTCTCAAATACTCCAGTCAAAATTTCAGTATTAACCACCATTAGACTACGGAACTGGCTATGTTGGCATGTGAATGCAGCCCCAGCACTTGAGTGGCTGAGGCAGGAGCATTGTGAGTACAAAGTCAACCTGAACCACATAGCCAAAACACTGCCACCAACACTACCACACACACACAGATGGGGAGGCAGGAGGATTGCAATGAAATAGATATTAGACTAGTATGCATACGGTTCCAGGCCAGCTAGGGATATACAGTGAGACTGTCTCGAAAAGAGTGTGATCCTTTGCCCATTTTTACCTATGTGGAAACTGAGGCAGCTAATAACCTTCACCAGGGTAACGCACAAGCTGAAACAGGATTCAGAAGTCTTGAGAAATGTTCTTTTTCATCTTGAGTCACATTGCCAACAAAGACCAGAGTTGGGCTGCCGCTTAATAGGACAGAGCAACAGAGCTAATAGCTATTCTCTCCCCTCCCCTGTTGTCCCAGACTTACCCTCCCCAGAGCCCAGCATCCTGGGGGGCTGGGTGGAGCTATTACCCAGGGAAAAGCCATTTTAATCGTCCAGCCCAACTGGCAATATTCTTCCCCAAATGCTGTAGACCCAAAATCTCTTTCCCCCACTCCCTCTGAGACCTTGGCCAAAGCCTTCTCCCTCTCTGATCTTGAGTCTCTGAGGGATCACCTTTTTTTCTGTGACCATCTCTGAACGGAGACAGGTGGGAACCACCTTTTCCAACAAGGCTTGAAGATAGGCCACAGCCTCCAGTGAGGCTGGGAGCTGGGTCAGATCAGGAACTCTCGCTAATGCCTGTGCAGGATCTGGGGAGCCTAGGGATCCAGCTGGGAGTCTCAGAAGACCCACATGCTGTTTGGGGCTGGTCGCACCCTATTTTTGTGATTGGGGTAGACTGTTTTCTAAGCCTTGGCCTAATTTGGTCTTCTAATCTGTCTCTCTAGGACGTCAGTGGCTGGGGCAGCTGTCGCCAGCTGGAGTCGCCCAGCCTAGCCAGAAACCAGAGAAAAGTCTCCTTGGAGATTTAGGCCTATCTTTGAAAAGCTCATGAAAACCACTTTGCCTTAATAAAGGGCATCCTTCAAGTGCAAACTGGAAAGAGCGGTCTTTTACGGATTAAATGGAGCAGCCGCTTCTATCCACCAGGTTTCTGCTAGGGGGAGAGAAGGCAGTAGGAAGACCATTCTAGTTTACCCAGGAAGCCCAGAGGTGATGACTGCAGGTGGGACAGCCTGGGAACTGGGAGCTATCAGCACGGTCGGTCGTTTGTAGTGACACTTAGCAACTCGCAGAGCATGTCGGTACTTCCCCTCTTCTAGCCTAGCCTCTTCTTTCCTATTGCAAGCCTCCTGTCTTGGGAGAGGAGGGGACAAGATTCAAGAGTCACTCCTGAAGGGTGCGCTCACTGACTACAGGTAGAAACCAACACCAGCTGTATGACGCTGATGGCACGTCCATGTGGCCGTATCCAGAGATCCCTCCAGCCCAACAGGACTTTTCACACATTGCGTGTCTGTCACTGACTTCAAACAAAGAATGTGTCATAGCTCCAGAATGAGCTAGGGGCCGTTTTCTGTCTCCCTCCATCATGCAGGTTTAAGGAAACTGAGGCCAAGAATGACAGGAGTCGACGGACAAGCTGAGACTTGAGCCCAGGGTCTGCCAAGCCTGCTGGCTTGTCCCTCTGTCCACATTTCCCTAAACTAGAGGGGAGCCTCCCATCCTCCAAGAGGCTGTCTGGGCACAGCTTTTCCTGGGGTCCCATTTTTAGTTCTGCCCTCCTCCCTACGCCAGCCTTGAACTCCCTGTGCAACCAAGAATGACCCTGAACTTCTGATCTCCCTGCCTCTACCTCCTGAATGCCGAGGGGCCGGGACTACAGGCACGCATCACCTCGCAGTTTCATGTGACGTTGGGGATTGAACCCAGGGCTTCACATAGGCTACTCGAGCTCTTTGCCAACTGAGCCCCATCCCTAACCCCTCAATTCCAAGAGCTTCCAGGGACCTCACATGACCCAGCGAAATACATCAAAATCAGCTGAGTGTCCTTTCCATCCTGGGACCGTGAGGAGACAGGCTCCAGTTACCCTCCTGTGCAAGCTTTTCTGAATGCCAGTCTCTTCTTGTGGTTCCCTGATGAGAGCTTGGGGGCTTCAAGGTCAGAGTCTTGGCCTAGGTCAGAGGTATTGGAGCTCAGAATAGGGTTGGAGCTCCAGCTTTGAGATTTCTTTCCAGTGGCGGCATTCGGGGGTGGGGTGGGGTGGGGTAGACACCAACGCAGTCAAACACCAGTGCTCAGTGCTCGTCAGGAGACTAAAGTGTTTCATTACGCGTGACAAAATAGTGACCCTGTTCCAGCTGGTCCCTCGAGAAGAAATTCTGGAAACTCTCTTACGCACAGATGCATAGAGTCAGAACATAGCTAAGGCGGAAAAAGCTGTGCTTTTGAAGCAGCGCACCTTGGACAAGCTACTTGACCTCTCCGTGCCCTGGTTTTCTCAGCTGTGAAATGGGGATGACGATGGTGTTTTTGTCCGTGAGGCTGAAGTGGGTTATCGTCTCTGAGGCAGCCGGGACAGTCTTGGGAACACGATGGTTCCCACTAAGTCTTCCCATACACACAGCACACATTATTGCCCTCACTTGCACAAGCCGCGCTTCCCTCTGGTGGTTGGACAGATTGGGACCCATGACCTCGAGCCTCCCCATGCAAGGGAGTTAACGAGCCTACCTTGCAGTCAAACTGCTTAGGGCAGTGCCCTCTGCCCTCCTGGCAGCCTCAGAAGGGGTCTCCCAGCCCTCCACTGTGTGTCACCATCTCAGAAAGGTACCTTCGGGGTCACGGTCACCCAGGACTCTGCTTCCTCTGTGTCTCCCACTGCACTGCACACCCATGGCCCGATCAGGAGACACAGGGCAAGAAGGGGCAGCATGGTGAGGGAGCGCCCCTCTGTCCAGGGAGCTCCTCTCAGCCTGACTCGGCCTCCTCCTCCCGCAGGCTCAGGTCCGCACCCAGGGCCGCTCCAATGTGGGTGGGAAACCTCCCCTTGTTCTCCAGGTCTTCTAGCGTCTCTGCTTCCTTCCTGTGCGGTTTATCCCACCTCTGGGCGGCTTCATGTAACAGCCTCTCTCCCGGGCTGATGGAGCCATTGACATCAAGAGCCTAGACCTCCCCGTCCCCACCCCTCCCAACACTTGATCCCAAGGCTTAACGCTGATGCAACACCAGCCTTACCTTTGGCTGAGTTCCCTCCTGGGACAGGTGCACAATGGCACAGTATGTGCGGCCTGGAGATTACAGCTCGCCAGGGACAACCCCGGGGACTCTCTCTCCTGCTGCAAGAGGGGCTGTACGGTGCTTTCTTCCTGTGCTTTCTGAGGTTCAGCAGTGGGTCACTGCTGATCAGCCACTCCCATCCCATCTCTTCTTCCTCTGTACTCTGCCCAAACTCGGTCTCCGTCTGTGCTTAGAACACACTGCATGTCCCATGAGGTGCCAGCCCTTAAAGGAGCGAGGCCTCTTGCGAGAGGAAACTGGAGTTTGCCAGAAAATGGCTTCAGAGCCCAAATGTCAGCCACTGACCATCAGTGATTTTCCTTCTAACACTGAACCACACTTGACCTCTCTGCTTGTAGGCCCTGTGTCACTCTCAACTGCTGGCTATGTTCATTTCCTGTCTGTTCAGCTTCTCCCTCTGCCCTACCACCCATCCACCTGACAGCCTAGAACGAGGGCCCTGTGGTCGGTGACCAGAGATCCAGTTGTAGCTTCATTATTGAATACTATGTGACCTCTGGCTGTTACTTAACACCTTAGAACCTTCCCAGGTAACACGAGGCCAATAACGACCTTCTGCAAGGGCTGAGGATGACAGCAAAATGTGGAGTGGTAAATATTTAACGTCCATCAACTATTGTTAATGTTACTTTTTTTTTTTTTTTTTGAGGTAACAGTTTCTCTGTGTAGCTCTGGCTGTCCTGGAGCTAGCTCTGTAGACCAGGCTGGCTCAAACTCACAAAGAGCCACCTGCCTCTGTCTCCCTAGTGCTGGGATTAAAGGCACATGACACCATGCCTGGCTAACTTGTTACTAATATTGGGACTGGATGGGAGGATGAGGAGGACACTGTGCCTGACCCCAACACCGGAAACCTCTGGTGGGTTGCAATGGGAATTGTCTCAGAATGCCAGCACAAGCTAAAATGCAGATTTCTTGGTTCAGCCCGCCACAGGGAGGAACTCAACCTGTCTTTTACTCAACTCTCTCATGGCCCCACCCTCGTTTTGGGCTTTCCATCAACCTCCTTAACAAATTCTTCCTCATGGGTATCACTTTTGCCCACTTCATTTTGCAGATGTGGAAACAGGCAGCTCAGGCTTGTTCTTAAGTATGCTGAACCCCAGTATCACTGGAGTTTGCAGGCTGGCCGGGGGAACCCCAGCATTGATCCCAGCGGGAGGTGGCCTTCCACAGTGCAGGCGCGAACAGAATGACTTTAGTCCGTAAGCCTCGGTTTACCCGTCTGCAAACTTGCCAGGGTAGGGCAAGCAGTTCAAGAATGACCGGTTAAGTTGTTCACAGGCACAGGGGAAGCCTGGACCTCGGCACTGGTCTTGAGGCTCCCCACGTCGCCTGCAAGGGAACCACAGTGCATGTGGGGCAGGATGTGGTGGGCGCACTGTGTGGACGCGGCGGGAGGCACGGGGCAGATGAAAAGGCGGAGGGAAGAGAGAGAAACCCCAAAGGCCCGGAAGGCCCAGAGGGAGGCAGGGCACCAGCTGCAAACCGCGGCTATTTGCAGCGTCGCCCTCGGTTTGCGGTCAGGCACAGGCTGGAAGGCCCGGCGACCCGCTTCGCAGCCCCGCCCGGTGCCCTCGGCCACCCGGGCGAGGTCCTGGCCGGTGAGTCCCTTCGCTTGCAGCGTTGAGGCCCGGGAGGTGGCTGGGTTAGAGCGCCGAAGGGACAAAGTCACAGCAGAGCCCCGAGCGGGCCTGGTAGGGCGAGGTTCCCGGGAAGACGCGGGGTGGGCGGGGCCCTGGAAGGTTCCGGTCTGGGGTGGACCCAGGAGTGGGCGGGGCCCCGGCATTAGCCACGGAGGTCGAGCACGCCCGGGAGAGCAGCGCCCTCCAGCGGCCGAGCTGGGTAGTGCCCCTCCTGGCCGGGTGAGCTGGAAAGCGCCCCCTATCGGCCGAGGCCGGCAGCAGCCCTCGCCGACCCACTAGCGCAGGTTCCGCTCCGGAACGACCGCGCGTGGGCGACCCGGTGCCGGGCGGCGCTCTGGCCGCGGGGCGGGTTGCGGCAGCGGTGAGGTCCGCTGGGCGCCGGGTGGGCGCGAAGGATTGCTAAAGGCTGCGGTTTGGCCAGGATTGCGGAGCCGGGAAGGAAAAGATGCAAGCGCGGAGGGATGAAAAAAAAAAAAAAAAAAGAAAAAGAAAAAGCCGAGGGAGAAAAGGGAAACCCTAGATCCCGCGGGCGAGCTGCGGGCAGGAAGCCGACGCTTCCGAGCGCCCACTCGGCCAGAGGAGGGGGACCGTGGGCCCGGTGGCACAGACAGGCTCCTGGAGGCCAGGCGCCATGGGTGGCGGAGTCTGGATTCGAACCTCATGTGGCTTGTTTTGTTCCTTTCCTTCCTAGACGAAGGAACCGGAACAGGGGAGGAATGAGTAGCGGGGCTGGGAGGGGCTCGGGTGAGAGGTCTCGGCTGCCTCGTAGGGACACTTGCGAAGAAGGCCAGCGGTTAGAGAACGCTTGAAGGATGCTGCCGGACCCTGCTTCCGGCCTTCTCACGCCCTTCCAGCGCCCCCACGTGGAAACTTCCGACCAGTCACCGCAGCTTGTCAGTAGCTGCGTTAATGGGCTCTGATGAGCAGTTCTTTGCATGGAGGGACAATGGGTTCCTTCCATTTGGAAGGGAAGTGGCCCAGGTTACTCCCCCGAACCCAGACCTAGGCCGACAAACACAAACTCTCTGCTTAGACTCCTATTGCAATAGCTTGGACATGTCACTCTTGCTCACGGTTACCTTACTGCTCCCCTTCGAAGATTGGCCGTGGACTTACTGAACACTCACTCACTCACCTTGACACAGCAGGGCATCCACAGAAGAGCAAGAGCGAGATGGGCAGAATGCCCCATCTCTGGCCACACTGGGACGTGATCTGGTCCTTGCGCCCAGAGTTCGGGTGGGCAGATACTTACCCACTTTTGGAAGGCTTTAACCCAAATCTCTGTGTTCTTGGCATCTCTAGCCTTGTTAGGCTGTTGGCCTCTATTCCTGCCACCCCCATTTTCTGGAAGGGTCTAGAGTCTAGAAAGGGCCTGAAAGTGTTGCCAAGTCTACTGCTAGCAGATCAGAGTTGTTTTGTTTTGTTTGTTCTTTTAACCTTTTATTTTATGTGTATGGCGTTTTGTCTCCATGTTTGCCTCTGTCCTGCAAGTGTTCTCTGCCTGTGGAGGCCAGAAGAGGGCGTCGCATTCCTTGGGCCCGGAGTTAGGTTGCGAGCCACAATACGGATTCTGGAAACGGAACCAGGGTCCTCCGGAAGAACAATCAGTGTTCTTGACTGCTGAGCCATCTCTCCAGCCCCCAGATCAGAGTTTTGAGAATGATCAGGAGAGCACCCCTGTTCTCCAGCACCCCATCACCAGTCCCTTCCCTACCTTATCAAAAACACAGGCTCAGGTGGGGGGGGAGGGGAGAAAGAGAAAGGAGATTGATTGATTGTAGGGGCTAAGAAGATAAGAAAACTCTGTGCAGCCTTTGTTTAGCTCCCTGTCGGCATATAATAAATGGCAGCAATTATTGCCGTTAATAATATAATTAAACAACAGCCTCTATCTACATTCCCTGGGAAAGCCCGGATTAAGGAAAGCCATGGGGCAGTCCCCCGATGTTTCACCATCCAGTTGCTTAAGGATGGCGACTGGGTGCCTGCTCTCAGGCTGGATCTTGCTGTGTGGAGTCTCTTCCTTAGAGAACATTTAGCATCCTAGATCTTAAAGGGTGGGCCCAGGGAGACCGGTGAAGTTGCGTATCAGGAGTTTTGGGTTCTAGAACTGCCCCTTGCCTGGGGGAGAACCGAGGAAACTGCTCACCTCTCCAGGGCCTGCAAGCAGGAAACCCTCCGGTCTGACCCCGTTAGCCGGGGGAGGGAAGCTGTGTTTAAAACCAGCCCTCTCTTCCTGGAGCCTGCTCTCAGTGCTGGAGGAGATTGCCTCTGGTCTACCGAATGGAGCCTCCGATTCCCACTGTCTGCAGAGCAGCCTGCCGCTCTCCCCTGAAAAAAAAGACTCCAGTGTAGAAACAGTATCTTGGAGTGGGAGTCTGGCTGGCTGACTCAGGGAGCACCTGGGGCTATCCTTGCAGGACATATATTGTCCTGCTTTCCTGGACCACTACACAGACTCCTGAGCCACCACAGCTGGATGTGAAAGACTCCCATGTCCTCCTGGTCCCCTTCCTGGATCTGCCAAACCCTTCTGTGGGGCAACTGGGGACACCTTGGGGTTAGGAGAGAACTCCATTTCTGGCCCAATGTTCGAGCACTTAGGATGAGGGCAGAGAGGGATGTGGAAGTCAAAGTCAAGAGGGCCGGCGTTCCCTGGGCCTACCAGGCCTGGCGCTGGGACCTAGGCTCTGCCACTCCTGGTGGGTCTGATCCCTGTTCCTACAGTTCTGACCCCCGAAGATGCAGACAGCCAAGGGTCATTTCACATCCCATCTCTGCTCAGTCCTTAAGAGACTACAAAGTCTAAATCTGTCTTACCTTTTAGAAAAATTGTATTTTATTTTCCGTGTACGGGTGTTTCCCCTGCGTCCCTGTGCAGCACCTGTATGCACACGGAGGCCAGAACAAGTATCAGGTGTCCTGGGACTGAAACTGCAGAAGGTTGTGGGCCACCATGTTGGTGCTGAGAATCCAACCATAGTCCTTTGGAAGTGCAGCCCGTGCTCGTAATTGCTGGGTCATCTCTACAGACCCCAGGCTGGCCTTGAACTCTGAATCTTTCTGTTTCTGTCTCTCTATCACTAGGACTTTAAGTATGTTCTACCATGCC